CTCTACGCCTTCAGAGGATGACTGCGACCTGATAACGCATCTGCTTCTTGTAGAGTCCCTCTGTCCTGTACTGCCACCATGTGGGCACACAATGAAAATGTTTCCAAAATGAAAAACAGAATGGAAGCATCTTTGGCCCTGATTAGTGCTCCTAATGCCCCATAAGATGCAGATACAGTTACTTAAGTAATTAAGATCGATCCATAAAGCGATAATAGACACAGTAGTGCCAGTGGTTGTAGCTTTAGTGGTGGATGTCTTCATGTTTAATCATAGTATCAGAGAATCAGTAGGTACATATGTTAATGTTAAGTGTTTGTGTGTGAACTAACATACACAATAACATAAAGTCACAGTGACCAGATCATGTGTTAATGGTGAGCAACAGGAAGGCATTAAACATGATGAGAGCATGGATTACATTTGTGATTCGCACCCTCGTTCTACAGATCAAATGCTGTCACAGAGAAGATCCACAGTAAAGACAATGTCTGACAATCTGTCCGTTCCCCGAGTGGAAACGGGTCGGTCTCTGTGTGAGTCTGTGTGAGTGAACACCTCCACTGCTGATCATTGGGACTTTATAACCGTTGAGACAGTTAGCCTATAGATATGTGCTGTTCTTTGTGATCTTATTTTTCAATCTCTACATTTGTCTTTTTTTTAACATTACAATGAGACTTATTTAACACTTTTAAATACGTCTCATTTGACTCCAGCATGAATGAATGAATGAATAAATAAATAAATAAAGCATACATAATAATAATAAAGTATAAAGCAGTCCGTCAGGGAATAACTTCTTTATACTGCTGAGATTGACTATTGCTTACACCATTATAATATCGCTGATAATAGCCCTTCTGCAGACAGCGGGAGTCTTTTTCAAACTACACATAATTCTTATGTTGCTTTTTGCCACATTTAAATAACAACAACAACAACAACATGAGACCACTTTTAACACAAGAAACCGTTGTTGTTGTTTTTTTACACCTTTTATTCTATACGATCGCCCAATCTCTGTGGCACCTGAGCTTCCACCACGTCATCAATTTACATATATATGTGTGTACATATATGTTTATACACTGTATATACAATGTATATATAGCGTGTGACTATAATATATACATATATAATGCGTGACGTGTGGTCACGATCCAAGCAAACAGAGCTCAGCATTCTAAATGTGACGTCAGGGTTTAACCCCGCTGTCCTTTGATCTGAGATCAGAGCCGAACTGACGCGTCAACTTCTCTATGACGTCACTTCTAAAGTATTCAGGTGGATAGGATACCAAAGGAGAGTTTCAAAGGTGAGTACCAAGTCCACTAAATATTATTGGAACCATTAAACCTTTCGACATGCATGGTGACAAAGAATCAAAAGGAAACCACAAGATAAAAGAATTTCTGTGTGGTAAAACAAAACTTTACCAGATAACTAAGTTTCTCGGAGAGGGGACTTACGGAAAAGTGGCCCAGTGCATAAATGTGAGCACTCAGGAGAAGATCGCTGTGAAGATTGTGCGGAAGGACATGCCCTGGGCCGCTAAAAAGGAGTTGGCCATGCTTGGACAACTCACAGGGCTTCAACAAAACAAAAATAACTTGGTTAGGTTTGTTGAGCATTTTACAGATGAGGGACATGTTTGTCTGGCATTTGAAATGCTGGACATGAGCCTTTATGACATGATGAAGGAGAGTTCTTTTGAGCCACTGCAGTTGTCTGAGATCAGAGTAATCACACAACAGATACTGGTGGCTCTGAACAGCCTCAAGAGCATAGGTCTGGCACATGCAGACATCAAGCCAGACAATATAATGCTGGTTAATCATAAGTTGCAACCCTTCAAGGTAAAACTTATTGATTTCGGTCAGGCATTTCTGGTTTCCAGAAAGCCACGCAACATCCTCATTCAAGGTCTTGGTTACAGGGCCCCAGAGGTTATTTTGGGCCTCCCACTGAGTGAGGCCATCGATATGTGGGGGCTTGGCTGCCTTTTGGCTTTCCTGTACCTGGGCAAGCACCTGTACCCAACAAGGTGTGAGTATGAGGTCATGAAAGTCATTGTGAAAATGCAGGGTCAGCCTGGCAATCACCTGCTAAAAGCTGCAAGTCGTGCTAAGGACTTTTTCAAAAAGGAAATGAAAGACTCCCATACTACTACATGGCGGCTGAATACACCAATCGAATACAAGCTCGCAACATTCTGCGACACCAAAACATCTAAAGGTGTTTTTGAAAAGTTAACCAGTCTCGATGACTTGGTAAAGATCTACCCAGAAGGCAAGGATGGCCCTGAGTATCAGGACACACTTGCCTTCATAAGCCTCCTCAAAGGCATGCTACAAGTGGATGCTGAAAGAAGAATCACCCCCAGCCAAGCTTTAGGGCACAGATTTATCACAATGACACACTTTAATGCTAACACCATCGACAACAGTTATGTGACATCAGCCAATCTGACCTTAAAAAACTGCCAGCTGGAGCAGCCATCAGTCAGTTTTGAGCGCTTTGTAACGTCCAGCGAAGTTACTAGGATCAGCGAGGACACACTGTCAAGCGACGATGAAGAAACCAGTATTGGATCACCAGCCACAGATGAAAAGCCCGTTACTATGGCCGATAAGAAACCACCTGCTTGTGTTAATCAAAATTTAAATGTGATCAACACTAGCAGTGATGACGGAACTGCATGCTTTGTTGAAGTCAAATGCAGGAAGAAGTGGTTCAAGAGGATCGGCAGATTCTTCTCCAAAATGTTCAAGCGTATAAGCTGCTCCAGTGTAGATGAAATATCATAGGCAACACGGTGTGTATCACTGTCACCACACAGCAAGGAGGATCTGTCCTCAAACCTGCTTTTTGGTGTCGTGTTTACACGCTCTCTCCGTGTCTGCGTGGGTTTTCCCCGGGCGCTCCGGTTTCCTCCCACAGTCCAAAAACATGCAGCTTAGCTTAACTACTATACAGTTAGTTCTTCTCCAGGATGATCAAGTGTATAAACATCTCCAGTGCAGATTTTAAAGACTGAAAGTCTGGAAAATTTGGAACACAGATCTTCCGCATGGCATTTGGATCTGTGTTCCAAATTTTTGGTGTCGTGTTTACATGTTCTCTCTGTGTCTTCATGGGTTTTCCCCGGGCGCTCCGGTTTCCTCCCACAGTCCAAAAACATGCATATTAACTAGAGCTGAGCTGACTGAAAGAAGAATCCAGTACAGATAATGTATGGATATCACACAAGTAGATGTTGTCCTTGAAGTACAGAAGTACAGCAACTTCAATGATTCAGTCTTATTTCATTGCCATTTACATTGTTGTAGAATTACATTTATATATAGTTCCTTTTGTACTACCTTTAAAATAAATAAATAAAATTTAAAAAATTGTAATTTGTATACAGCCATTACTCTTAAGCCCGAACCTGTAAATATTTTTCTAATAAATATAGCATAATTTGAAACAAGTATTAATTTATAAAACTCTCAGGGTATAGTGAAAGTTTCAATAAATATGACAAAAAGTTATTTTTATAAAAGTTACCTACTGCAGCTTTAAATATCAGTTAAGGGAAGACTTCAGGTCATTTTTGGAACCTTTTTTCCTTTCAAATCCCTGTTAGTTTAAATCCTTATAGAAAGTAAAAAGTCCAACTCAAACACATGCAAACAAAAAGTTTGGCTTGCCAGCTAAAAGCTCTGGTTTGTTGACCCCCCGTCGGTTTTATTTTCATGTGAGCGTGGCAAATCCCCGGGCTCTTGTCCTGTCTCACACTGGGACACACAGAAAGAGACAGGAAGTTTTTACCTAGGACAATTTATCCAATGAACATGAAGAGGTGATGGGATTAAATATTTTCAGACAATCCTGTTTTAGAGTAATAATCTAATACAGCTGCATGTCAACTAGGAATGCTTACAAGTAGCTCAACGTTAAGTTCAGCACCGTGGGGCGCCCGCCTAATATGGAACAAGAAAAGCCGCTCTACTTTTCTGTAACTGGGGTTTTGCATGGAGATTCCAAAACACAAACAACAGGAATTTGTTCATATCACCATGCTGCTTTTGTTCCTGCTGAGCCCCTGTGTGCATTCTTGGAGTGGGATCAATAGATTGAGTGTAATTCTTGTGCCTGTCAGCAAGAAAAATTTAATTTGTCAGCTGTCTTGGCACTGTGTCAGGAAATGTTTGACTGTGTGACCCCGGGGCCCAGTAGGAGTGTGATATGAAGGGAGGGTATATAAATGTCCAGGCAACACCGCGGGACCACAGTCTGCCTGCCTGAGAAGACTGTCACACACACCTCCAGCAGAGAAAAGGTAAGACCAAGGGCCATCCACTGGGTGTGATAAACTATACTGTAAGCTGATGAGTTGAATTTCAGGGTTTTAAAAACGTATTTTAGCCTGAATATCCTTAATTTTGACTATTGTAAACAAAACATTTAAACTAGACTAGTCTACATTATATGCTTTCTGTGTGGGAATGAAGTCAATTAATAGATCAGTCGATCAACAGAAAAATAATTGGCAGCCATTCTAATAGTCGATTAATTGTTCAGGTTTGAAGGAAAAATTGTGAAAAAATTCCAAAACAATTTCTAGTTCCAGGCTCCCAGATGAGAGGAATTGATACTATTGTTATATATGACTATAAAGTGAATATCTGGGTTTTAGTGAAACAAAATAAGAGATTTTAAGACTTCATCCTGGACATATTATTGACTAACGATTAATTGGATAAATAATCAGCAGATTAATTAAAAAACAAGAACAGTTCCAGTCCAAAACGAAACAAATGTACAGAACATATGTTTGAACATTGTCAATAAATGTGTTTGTTTACAAGTGAGTAGTATGTATATTAACCAGGTTTACTGTGTGTGTCATATCTAATCATAAAGGGTACAATCACAGTGAAATCAGATATACTGTGATGCAGTGATGACCTTTATACAGACATCAGTGACTCAGTTTCTGACCCTCCCAACAGATGGATCTTGCACTTCTGTCCTCCATCCTGCTGGTCATTTCTACTGTCCATGCTTTCCAGTATTCAGAGTTGGTGCAGTACATTGACAGCCATCAAGAAGAATATGTGGAGGTACAAAATCTTCTTCTTCTTCCTTTAGCATTATACATTTGTATAGTTAATACAAAATATTTATTAGAGTGTATTGTACGGATAAATTAAACAATATAAACAAGTGAACTTATGGAACCGAGATAAAACGAGGTTGACAGTGCTTTCATTTTCAATATAAAAGCTTTTCTGTCATTGTTTTAAATAAATAAATAATAATTAAATAAAGGTGTAAAATATCAAAATGAAGCAACCTGGATGGACAGTGTTGTGTTTTACAGTGATAAACAGAACCAGATCATCTTATGATCATAAATCAGGTTGGTTGAACACAAAAAAGAATCAAGAACATGCTTACACATCATAAACATCATTTTGAAAACACAAACCAATTCCTAAAATGCTCCATGCAACAGTCTTCAGTGTTAGTAAGCATGGTTCATATCTCCAACCGCTCAGCAAAAAACATAGTACCTTTTTAAAGGTCTAGTGTGTAACATTTAGGAGGATCTATTGTCAGAAATGGAATATAATATTCATAGGATGTTTTTATTTAGTGTATAATCACATGACAATAAGAATCATTGTGTTTTCGTTACCTTAGAATGAGCTGTTTTTATCTACAGGGGAGCAAGGTCCTCTTCTATGGAGTCCGCCATGTTAAACCATCACGTTTCTACAGTAGCCCAGAATGGACAAACCAAACACTGGCTGTATATACTGCCTTTCACGTTTTTTCACAAGTTTTGCAGCCACCATAGTTTCTCCTGCATATTCCTTTGCAGTTCTCATTCTCAGGTCATCAAATATCAATGTGAGCAGTATTCAGTTGGTTGCAATCTGCTACTTCCCCGCTAGATGTCACTAAATCCTACACACTGCTCCTTCAATCAAACAGCTATAGTATAACAAGCAACTTTTTATGAAGAGCATACAGCTTGCTTCTTGTATTTTCTCTACCCTAGATCAGTGTTTCCCAAACCTTTTCATGTCAAAGACGTCCTCATTAGATGCACATTAGACTCTGGACCCCCTAATTTAAGAAGATTTTGTCTGAAAGAAACACCCCCTGAGTAATTATTATTGTTTTATGTTTGAAAGGAATAAAGGCTTCATAGTCAAGCATTGATCAAACTTGTATCACTATAAATTACTATCAATAAACAATCAATTACAATCAATAAAACACTATTTCTTCTCAATAAAGACGATAAAATTTAAAACAGTGTATTCCTCCTTTATCCCCCTACAACCCATTCAACGACCCCTTTTGGTCCAGGGACCCCAGTTTTACAATATGACAGAAGCATTAGATTAAACTCAATGCTGATGTTTTGAACGTTGTGTGTGTGTGTGTGTGTGTGTGTGTGTGACTATTAGGCTCTGCGGGATTGGGTTGCAATCGAGAGCGACTCCAGCAACGTCTTGAAGAGACCAGACCTACACCGCATGATGGAGATGGCGGCTCAGAAGCTGAGGCTGATGGGAGGGACTGTAGAGCTGGTGGACATCGGAGAACAAGAAGTCAGTGAGCCGGCACCTCCCCACCTTTCATAAACGCCGCAATACAGCAATATCAGAGCTTTGTACATAATCATCACCCTAATTGGTCAGTAAATATTCTGTATTTCATACAGAGCTTTTCTCGTCAGGAAAGGAAAATGAGCTGCTAACTTCAAAAAGGCGGCAGAGCGGTCAGGACTAAATCTACCTCCTCATTACAGACTGAGACACATCAAAGCAGCTTCCCAAACTCATTAGACATATAGTGTATGTGAGGTCAGACTAGAGGTCAACAATCTCAGCTTCTCAGCAGTAATTAGGAACCACATAGCTTCAACTGTTACTGCATTATATTGTCTTAGTGAATGGTAAAAACAATAGCTGATGGCCCTTTGACACCAAGCTACACTGACTTGCTTATTTTGGAAACACAGAAGCCCTTCCTTACTGTAAGATTACCACTGTTTCCATGTTACACAATCTGAATCATTGAAATTCCTTTGATATCTGAGAAATAGACACACAGATTGAGATTGTGCAGTGTGTAGCTAATTCATTAGTGGTCAGGTGGTATTGTAGCGACAAATAAAAACAGAGCTGCCCCTCAGGGTTCCACAGAAGTTGAGAAACCTGGAAATCAAAGTGATTGAAGGATAGAAAAATAAACTATATGTATCAGTGCAACAGCCCATGCTGGTGTTAACTCTCCTTCAATGTCTGCAGCTTCCTGACGGACAGACATTAGCGTTGCCTAAAGTGGTGACAGCTCAGTTTGGCAACGACCCAAACAAACACACAGTGTGTGTCTACGGCCATGTGGACGTCCAGCCGGCGAAGCTAGAGGACGGTTGGGCAACGGATCCCTACAACCTGACCGACATCAATGGTAACTGCCTTTAAGCTCTTCAGGCGCCATTATCAAACCCACATAACTTCATCTTCAAAGATGCCAAATGTCAGGCTGAATCTGGGTGAAATGGGTATGAAGGGACTTCTAAAACATCTACAATATTTCCATCTGATGGAATGGTGATCAAACGTAGGTTTGAATATTTAATTCAGCGTAAACATCATATAGCTTCAAACAAGAGCTGAAACAAACTGATACACAGCCTATATATTATTATTATTAAAGGAAACTGGGGCAATATTAGAGAAACTTTATCCTAACCTCATAAAATCTTAAATAATCTAATTTTTAAGCTGTCCTAACTTTCACTTTTCCACCAGTTGGTCTTAGTTAACATGTTTAATCTGTAGCCTATGGCTGCTCTTTTGTTACTGTTGTTATCTTGTGATATCATGATAACAACTAGTTTGACTATATTAGATTGAACTTTTTTACATTCAGTGCTTCATCTACACAGGTACACAGGTCAGCACACTGTCTCCAGTGTTACATAACCCCGGGCCCACTAAGAATCCCTGATTGTTGTGTCTGCAGGTAACCTTTATGGACGAGGAGCGTCAGACAACAAGGCCCCAGTTTTAGCCTGGATCCATGCGGTGGAGGCTTACCAGGCCCTCAATATGGTGAGAGAAAGTTCACAATACCACTGTACAGGATAGATTTTCATGCCAAAGATAATCAAAAAAAAATGTGTTAGGGGAGTGGGAGCTATTGGGAGCCCCAGTGAGACCAAAGGACAGATTATAGCACTTAACAGACAAACAGACGAAACAGAGAGAGACATCTCCAACAAGATAGCCCTAAAAGATAACTCCCATTTATTCAAGCTGACTGTTTTAGTGGAATAAAATACTCAACGTATTTGGCGGGAACAAACTGCATACCCTCAGGCTAGTGAGAGAGAAAAGCTAAGCTTCAGCCAAACTAACTTGCAAAGTCATTGTTGTTTTTGCAAAGTCACTGCGGCAGTCCATTCCTGCTATCCTGCTGCCACTTTGTCTCGTAAATGCAGCTGAATATGAACATCCAAAGGCCTCAGCCAGAAGCTGGATGCATTAAGGGGAAAGGAATTGTGTGGGTGTTGAAAAGACTACTTTCCCACGCAGCTAATGGCTCAGGATTTTAGAGTTTGCAAACACCATTACAGTTTCAAAAAAGGTTTTCTTGCCATCCAGAAATAAGCCGTTCAGATGTGATTCAACAGCTCATCCTCCAGCTTCACCATGTGCTATCACTTCCTCTTTGTCCACCAGGAGCTGCCAGTGAATGTGAAGTTTGTCATTGAGGGCATGGAGGAGACAGGCTCTAACGGCCTGGACGCCATGATCCTGGCTCAGAGGGACACCTTCTTCTCCGACGTAGATTACATCATCATCTCAGACTGCGGCTGGCTCAGCAGACGGCCCGCCCTCACCTACGGCACCAGAGGCAACTGCTACTTCTACGCTGAGGTTGTGTATGCATACACACACACACACACACACACACACAGAAACCCAAACTAAAACATTTGGTTTCAAATAAATGCTGAATTCTTTACACACACACACACACACACACACACACACATACTGCATCTGGGTGTCATTCAGCTCTTCTAGGCTGTTTCATGGTGAGGTGTGTTTGCAGGTTGAAGGACCTAAACAGGACTTACATTCTGGTGTTTATGGGGGCACTGTGATCGAACCAATGACTGACCTCGTTGGAATTCTTGGTGAGTGTATTTTTAGGTAGAACACATTCATTCACTCAGTCACAGTAAGATAAGACACTGAACCGGCATCAGTTGGGCATCAGCAGTACGACAGGTACCGACAGGGCAAAACCTTTATTTTGTTTTAATTCAACCTATATTTAAACAGGAAATCTCATGATTGCTTGATCTATTTAAGAAGTGAGATTTGACCAGAATTGACACACAAACTAGTGGAAGGATAAAGCTAACAGGATTTTTGGATACCATGAAAAGACGAAAACCTTTCTCCTCGATACTTTCTGACTTCCCGTCTATTCCTCTCTTAGCTCCAAGCTCTTCTGTGGTTTTTATTCAAATGTTACTCAATTAGGAGGAAATAGTATATTTGTTCGGGACTATTTTCAGCAGTGCATTAATCTGCATTTGGTGCTCTGGTGAGAGTGTGGTGCAGCAGTACCAGCACCTTAACGGACACTTTTATGTTTGAAAAACATGTTACTGACAATTTTACCAAAAATAAATAAAAAACAAAGTAAATGAATACAATACTCCGTTCATTGTATGGGTCCTGTTTGAGTCAAAATAAACCACAGCAGGGACCTTTAGTGTTTTACAGGCCAAGGACCCCATAGCTGATAGAGAGACAGAGCAGGGACAACGGACTACATATTGTATAAAAGTGTGTTTCATATTAAACTTGGCCTAGCAACAGTGTTGTGTAAATTATTATTATTATTATTATTGTTGTTGTATGTGTTTTTAGACATATTTCCTTTAAAAAAAGCAGTAATTCTGAGGACTCCCTGTTGAAGATCCAGAACTGTACTTCATCGTAATGAAGAAACATTTCACCCGGCTGTGGCTTACTGCTGTGTTTTTAATAGTCTTTGGACAACAACTGAGTTATATGGCACAGAGGAAGGAGACATGTCAGGCATTGATACACGCACAGTTAGTAGGCTCAGTTCTTTTAATGAATTTACCACAAATTAATTGAAACAGAGACATGTGGCTTTCAGAGTCCCAGAGGTTTCCGGCTGCTTTGGTTTGTAACCCAGGAATTATTTATTTGCCTCCACTCTGCATTGTACTATTTTGGGCACCTTATGCCTGTGACATCTTATATGATTTACTATTGATTATTATGTAGTAACTATTAATTATATTTGAATAATTATGACTAAACATGAGCCTTCTCATGTGTTACTATTTTAAACTTTTACATAGCACAATTTTAGAAGGTGTAGTCGTAAAGTGCAGTGGTTCTCAACCTGGATTCCGGTTCTTTCAGCAAAGAAGGAATATTTTAATTTCACTATTATTAACCAACTGAGAGAATAATGACTATTCTGTTCATAGGTTTCACACTCTGCCAATAGACAGTAAAGATAATTATTATATAATTCAATCCTATTAGACAGGATCTCTGAGACTACCTCTTATCAAATACAAATCTATGGCCTGATATGTATCTATTTGGGGGTCCTTGACACCAAAAAGGTTGAGAACCACTGCTCTATAGCAAGACTGAAGAATCTTTAAGCAGGCCGCTAAATCCCTCCCAGCTCCTGCAACCCTGTTATATCTGACCTCCACACAATGTGAGATGTAGTCCATTTAAACCCACATCAAATGTATTCTCTTGTAACTTCTTACCTTAGACACAATGATCAGCCCCAGCGGTAAGATCCTGATTCCTGGGATCAGAGAGGCCGTGGCTCCCCTTTCTGATGAGGAATGGAGAATGTACCAGGACATCCAGTTTGACATCGACAATTACAAGAACAAGATCGGCGTCAACGAGCTCATGTACAGCAACAAGGTAAGAGAACAAGAAAGAAACTGCTCAGAATAGTCTACTTTCAGGCAAGATAAATGATTGTCTTTGTATGTTTCCTGTAGGTGGACCTGTTGGCCCACATGTGGCGCTACCCCACTGTCTCCATACATGGCATTGAGGGGGCCTTCTCAGACTCGGGCACAAAGACAGTCATTCCTGCTAAGGTTACTGCCAAGTTCTCCATTAGACAAGTTCCCAACATGGACCCTGCTATGGTCAAGAAACAGGTAAAATCATATGTCAACGCTCAGCTTCTTTTTTGGATAAGCTGATTATTTCTTCCCACAAACTACCTCTGCTCCTATCTGGTTCGGTGCTTTAGGTAACAGACTATCTTCACTCGGTGTTTGCCAAGAGGAAGAGTCCTAACAAGCTGAAAGTCACCATGGTGATCGGGGCCAAGCCTTGGCTGGCCGACACTCAACATCCTCTGTATGATGCTGGGAAGGCTGCTGTCAAGAGAGGTACCGCACACACCCAGCCCCTTCCACCTAGCACTGCATCAACATCCTTTCTACTGAGGGTCAACCTGAAGCAAAATGTACAAGTAATAGTTCATACAAATGACCACTAGATGCCACTAAATTTTACACACTGGCCCTTTAAAGCTGACTGTCTTGGATGAAGCTGCACCACTGGCCATTTGACCTGTTGCATCAGGCCGTCTTCTGTAACTTGGATTAAAAAAAACAAGAGTTTGATAAATTTTTTGCTACCAGGACTTCAAGGTTTTTTTTTTTGGTGTTACTTTTTATCACTGCTTTAGGCTTCTCTTTTATGCCTCTTCCATTGTGTGTATATTTTTTACTGCTAATTTTTTTACCACTGTTGATCTTGTTTTTAATTTTTGTGCTTAAAAGGGCTTTAGGAGATCTTGCTTAAGTGACATGAGCTAATTCTTGTCCAGCTCTTTCATTCTGTGGTAAGAAACCTGAGTTTATGTCCATTACACTCTGATATAAAATGTCCTGCCCTCTCCAGTTTTTGACATGGATCCTGATCTGATCCGTGAGGGCGGCACCATCCCTATTGCCAGAACCTTCCAGGATGTGACAGGAAAAAGCATCATCATGATGCCCATCGGAGGCTTTGATGACGGGCTGCACTCCCAGAACGAGAAAATTAGCAGGTCTGATTCCTTAAAACCATAACTGCTTTCTCTTTATATTTCATTTAACAGGAAGTTTTATGTAAAACCTGTACTAGTTCATATTTTCTATTGAGGCTGTTGGACAAGATTCAGAAGCAAAGCTGGGATTTATTCAGAGGGAAAGAAGCAGGAAACTGAACCTTTAGGGCGCACACAGTCTTATCCTCCTCTTAATTATCCACATGCTTGGATATCTTCACCTAATATGAAAAACATATGATTGCAAAATAATGGGGATGCCAAGATAAAAGGATTAAATTAAAAGTAGACATGCAAAAATGTTTCCAGACATTTATTAAGACATAAATACAAATAGTATGCTTGGAACAATAATGTGTGTCAAAAACAAAGTATAATTTCTACAGTAATATTCTTAAAAAAAGTCATCACCTCCTTCTACCTCATTATTAATTCCAGAATCTCTGAATATGCACAAAAAAACCCACAAGAAACTGAGTGATTTAAACAGAAACAGCTCTAAATACTGAACAAAAAGCAAAGCAACCACACGGACATCACAGGGACAAATGGAGAGCATCTGGATAAAGAACAGAACAGATTGTTAAACTATACAAGGTCAAACCTGTCTGTTTGAAAATGCTGACGCTCTGAGAAATGCAGATATATTGGTCCAGTCCCAAAGTGTTTTGTAAGTCTTATAGCTTGTGGCAGCAGCAAAGTTGAACAGGGACTAGATTTTTCTATGCTTTGGGATTTCTAAGAAGGTATAATGTGCGCATTTGTAGGAAGTGATTGTAGATGTAAAGAAGACTGACACGTTGGCGACTGTCCCCATTTAAAACCAGTCCAACATTCAGATTTGTCTCTGTAACACTTTATACAGCTTCCTCACCTTTGTCTTCCTTTAACTGTCTTCTCGCAGGTACAACTACATCGAAGGGACCAAGTTATTTGTTGCCTACCTGAATGAAGTATCCCAGATTAAGCAGACCAGTGTGTGATGTCTCATGGCCTCATTAAATGACCGTCTAAACCATCCCAGCGACAGTGAGCTCTCCCTGACACAAGCCTGGTTTTATATTTTTTACTGTGCCTTCATCTTTCTTTCATCCATTTCTCTGTCTCTTGCCAAGCTTTTATTTATCTGCATCCAAAGAGCTTCCTCCCTCTCTCCCTTCCCTCCGCTGTCAGTAAGTTTTAAAAATGCATTTATTCTACGCATGAATGTATACAAAAGGAGGAAGCCAATGAAAACAGAAATTATCTATCTAATCTATCTATCTATCTATCTATCTATCTATCTATCTATCTAATCTATCTATCTAAATCTATCTATTATCTATGCTATCATCTTCTATCCTATCATTATCATCTATCTATCTATCTATCTATCTCATTTTGACATTGTGAGTGACTGTAATGGCATGTGCTACTTCTTCTGATTGGTGGAAATGTCTGTAGTGATCATGTTGCTGTTCTTTGCAGATGTGGCATATGTTTATGCTCCATGTAATGTCAGACAGTACTGTAAGTGTGTGTGTGTGTGTGTCATGTAGTAAAAGCTGTACAATGCAACCTTTGTGTACTTTTGTTTATTATGTGACAAAGTGTTCTTTAATGTGTTACAGTAATAATGAGACAAACACACAGTTCCCTCAGCCATGAAACATTTATTTAACGCTCACACATTTACTGAAGACAGAACCTGCACAGACAGATGTGCTGCCAGCAGTCACTATGTATGGACAGTCCAGCCATTGTCTGGTGTTAGAGCACTCTACATAAGACACAGCCCTATTCAGCAAAAAGACAGTTCACTAACAATGTTGCAAAATATCTAAATAAGTAATTTAATCTCAAATCTGGCATAAAGATATGTTTTACAGGGTGTCTGTGGGGGCTTAAAAAGTCTAAAATCCAATAATCAAAATTTTAGGCCTTAAGTATGATAAAGTTGCTTTTTTTGGTCTCAAAACAAAATAGACATGGAACCAGTACCAATTTTCATTTACATCCTATTCATTACATACTATTAGTATTTTTTTATTTTTATTGTTTGCCTGTATGGACATAAAATAGGTCTTCAATTGCATTAATTTAAACATTAAACCTGTTGAAACCAGAGTTATTACAGTTTTGCATTTAGTATTAGTTTTTGTTTCTATTTAATTTTTAATTTTTGTTTTCAATCAGTTAGTTTGCAGAGTGGGTTTGCTTGTTTCAGTTTAGTTTTCTTTGTTTAAAAATGTTTAGTTTTAGTGTTAGTGTTAGTTTAATTCTTTTTGTAATTATAATATGGGGGCATTTGTCAGGGGCAAGATTTAATAATTTCAGAATATTCACCAACGCCTCCTCGTGCTCATTGAGTTGACACATTTGATCAAATTGACAAAGAACCAAACTAAAGACATGTCCTGTTTATGAAACCTGCGAAACCCTGCTGTAACACAAGAAACAATAATAATTTCATTTGGGAACATTTTATTTTACATTTTAGGAATTTTCTTGAAAGTGAAGTGTTACAGTCTTATAAGAAAAATCACTGCAATTCTTTTTTAGGCATTTTGCCCAGAACTTTATTTAAAAGAAGATAAACATATTATGACTAAACAACAGACTTTTATTATGGCACATTAAACAGCTTTGGACACATCAGTTATGACATAAAAATACAGTATCCACTTACTAAAATTATTTTTTTTAATGGGGCAGTTGAAGATGATTACAGGGGTCATCTCAACCTTCATTTCTTAAAAGTACTCAAAAAAAGTACTATTTCCTATATTCTAATCTGCAGTAATTGAAGAGAGACAGTGCCGTTATCTTGTTAAAGTGCCATATATCCCTGCAGGAAGTGGTAGGGAGGAACCCTGGTGTTGTGAAGAAGCCGTGTCTGACACTTCAGCGGCCTGATTCACAACACCAGCTGACCCTCCCCACCCACACACACTCACAGTACTGTGGCACAGCACAGAGGCAGTGTGAAGTCAGGAGTTCATCTTCGGTGACTCAGTGACAGAAACAAGCCACTGACAAGACACCACCACTGTTCGCAGTCACCTTATTGCTCTCAGAGGGCAGCAGGGGGAGAAACATCCACCTTTCAATAAACCTGCCTCATTAGTATTAAAAGTAGTGAACTGAGAATACTCACCTCTTCTCTGTTGGTACACTTATCCTCTGCTACCTATATTAAAGTGACTGCAGTGGTGGCAAAGGTGGTTAACAATAAGAAACACTGGGCAATGAGGCTAAAGTGGAACAGCGTGGGTGCAGTACGCACTGTCTCCACTGGAGGGCAGTTTGAACACAGCCGCTCTGTTTTTCCATCACTGAGTGTGAGTTCAATTGTCTGATGCCAAACTGGTCACGCGCCTTACCTCAACCTGCAATAAGACAGAAACAGGAAAATGAATTAAACGTGGGAAAATTAGCTTTCAAGTAAATCTTTAAAATGAGGAGAATATTTAAGATTTGACCCACAGAGAGCCTATAAAATCTGTTAGCTGTTAAATGTGGGTACTATCAAACACAGGGAGCATGTGATTATCTTTAGCAACCCTGTTAAAGAATCTCAGTGTGACTGCACAGTGAAACACAAGACAGTCCTCAGATGTAACGGTGCTCTATTTGGTTGCCTATTTATAAAGTGCTTTGGTATTGAGGACAGGGCCGTGATGGAGCTGAGAATAACTTTGGTTTCACAGCGGCAAGCCTTAATCCACCTTGAAGCGGCCTGCTGTGGATGCAAACTAAAATCATGTCACGGTAAAAGTGGGTTTAAAGTAAAATCATCTTCAAGCAATCAGATTCAGAGTCATTTTTAGTACATTTAGTAAAGAGATTTACTAATAGGACTGTGCACTGAAATGATCAACAGAAGGATTGTGGATGAGCTTTGTCTGTAGGGGTCAGGCTGATTTATGACCAGAATTAATGATATCAAATAGCCACAAGCAAAATAAAGTCATCTGAAATACTTCTATGAAAATTAAAGATAACAGTCTGTTAGATAGATTAGATTATTAGATATGTAGCAGTGTTGCAGGAAGTATATAGATTCTTTACTTAAGCAGCAATAACGCGTCAAAAAATAAAAATAACGTCAAAATACTCTTAATTATAATCAAATATACCTAAAGTATCAAACGTCAAGTAAGAAATTGTATTCATTGCACAATACAGTACAGTACTTATAAAGTATTGCAATATTTACACATTTGCAGTATTACAAACTGAGTGTCTGTGGCAATGCTCCTGGAAATACACACAAAAAATGTTATTATGCACACAATTATAAAAAACACTTTAACCATGCGCTATCAACAACAAGACTGCTGACCGCTTAGCTCTAAGAAATACTATATAACAGCTTTGCAAAAGTCTAAAAACTAATTTTTTCCAGGAATGTTAATACACATATATACATATATACTGTCTGTATAGTAATACAGTACTTAACATTTACTTAAATAAATGCCGTAATAATGAATAATTACCCTTTAAAGCTGCATTAATAGATTTTTTTTTACCACTTGGGAGCAGAACAAGAATGAAAGGTTATGTCGACTGAATTGTCACTCATTTGGAGTTATGCTTCTGACCATCTAATACCAGTATTCACACTGTTTTAGCTTTCTTTTGGTCCACCAACTATTTAGTCTCTCTAGCTGCTGAATGCTCCACTGTGTTCACCAGCTCGTCTCTGTGTCTGTCTGCTGTTTGGTGCGGGGCAGGTGGTGTGCAGTGGGTTCATCCTCCTGCTGGAAATGGGATTGATGAGTGCGTGGTTGCTGGTTGTAAAACCAAACCAGCCTTAGGTTAAAAGCTTCTGCAGAGTAATGATACACAGGACCAGTCATTCCTATGAAAGCTGCTCAATGGCGCATGAAGCCCTCCGTTAACTTAAATGGAGATAAATAATTTAATCATGTGAATGTTCTAGAGTTTAAAAATGTTACCAGACTGAAAGAATTGAATTCTGACAGTAATACGAGTCATCTCACAGGGGTTACGCTGCTGCCACTTCTTTCACAATGTAACCTTATGGGAGAAAGTCTTATTGGGCCACTGTGCATCGCGCGACGGATACCATTGCTGTAATTACATGGTTTGGCCACTATGTCAAATTGCCTTCAGAGCCCAGCGCTCTTCCTGGGGGCTCGGTTGTAGGAGGGTGAAGCCATTTATTGATCAATATCACTACGAGTGTCCAATGCTGGAAACATACCATGAGGTAATCATCTTCTGTTGATTTGTTACAGCAGACGTGTTTCACATTACATTAGTCATTTGATCAATACAACCGGATTTTAAGTATAAACACAGTATAACTCCTTCCTTGTTCTAATAATGACATGAATCAGGCTGTTGTGCTGTTGAGGATTATTTCTAGAGATCTATTCATCCAGTTATGTAGCCCCAAAGCAAACCAACAGCATCAATTAAAGATTAGTAGGGCATTTAAGAGTTTATCATCTAATAACATTTAATAACATTTCAGATTTTCAGGCACACTTCCTTCTCGCCGTCTGTTGGGTAAGCTCTGCACGTTCACAGTATAATGAAGTTTCACCCGGCTGTAGGAGAGTGTTGGACTGTAGGTGAGAGAGGAAGTGTACTACTGTACCACTTGTGCAGCTGAGTTGGGCCAGTGTTCACAATGTTCCACAGCTCTTGTTGTGAAATTGGGTTTTAAGCGTAGCCTTTGACCACTCCATTAATCATTGGTTTGTCCATCTGCCTGGACCAATCCAGGACGGGTACCTAATTCTTCCACAAGCTGCCGTGTCACACTCAACATAATATCCCAGCAATACATTTCTCCTAATCCCTTTTTATCAGGTTCACTGGCCTTTCTGGTCAATCTAATTGCGACAAAGCCCACATAAGGGCTTTTGTGCCAAAAGAAAGTTCTTTTACGGTTTCAATTAAACGGCTGGGCCGGCCCAGCGGAAGCTCTTTGGCAAACGCCAGTGTCCTTCAGACAAAGAATGTCACTGCGCATAATGGATAGAAACACTTCACTGAGGAAGAGGGGAAAGAGGGGCAGAATGTGGGGAAAAAAGAAAACCCACCCAGTCGCTCGCCTCACAGTTTAGCTCATTTCAGAGCCAAAGGTTTTGGAGTTTTTTTTGGGGAACGAGCACAAAGATTTAACTAACAATCAA